ATATATATATATATATATCTATACTGTACATACATTGTATACATAATTTTCAAAGGTTTTTGAAAAAGCAAATATATATACTGTACATACATTGTATACATATTTTTCAAAGGTTTTTGAAAAAGCAAACCAAGACTAAATCGACTGTTTAAGAATGAATGCACACACTTCAATATCAACCTAACAATAATAGAATTTTCCAGCCCAGCCAACTGCTTTCTTCTTCAGTTCGATCCGGCAAAATCAGTTAAAAGCAATCAAGATGTGTAATAGATCAAAGTAATAGATGGGGCTTTAGCAACATGATTAGAGGCCTCAAATGGAGTTAAAACAAGATGTATTCATTCTCATTAAAATCACATATAAAATTGTAGATTTATGTAGAAAAATAAGATCTCTGAAATATCCACACAGACTGTATAATTCTCATAATGGTAAATCTACATACTGTATATTTGTAACATCAAAATTGTCAACATGAATACAAATCAAAACTACAGTACATAGCTCATCAGTACTTTAATAGTAAATGATCCTCAGCATGTTTCACTGAGTTAGATTCTTCAGGAGGAGGGAGGATATTGTGGTCCAACACAGCTAAAACCAGGTAATAACAATGCCTGCATACATTGATTTCCTGTGGGGGCAACCATCGGAGATCAAACTGGAGAACAATAGTCACCCATGGGTATAGGTGTGTATAAAGATAAGAAAATAGATACAATATATAGCTAATTATCCAAAGAGATATACCTGCTGGTTTGGGAATCTGCATGTGTCTCCTGGTGGTCCAGTGGGGTTTTCAGCAATCAAGATGTTAATGGAAAGCAATCAGTAATTGCTAGACCCAATCAAAATATCAAAAAAACATTTTAAAGAACAATCAGAATAATATGGCCAGTCATGTAACAATTAAAATGATACTTTAATGGCTAATCATATGGTTGAAACAATTGTTTCTTCAAACAAATAAAATGATAGATGTATGGTAAATTATCGAACAGTCAAAACGATACATATATGGCCAACATAACCATGGCTGATGTCAGATAGGGGCTCAGCTTTCACACAGACCTTGGCCCACCTGGGAAGGCTGAGGGTTGTATATCACAAGACATCTGCCCTTCAAATAAGTGGAAAGAGAAGAACAATATCTTGTAGAAGCTCTTTACTACTGTCTATATTGCCCATCTTCAGTAATATACTCTCCAAACTACATTGATTTTACTACATACGTGAATATATCAGATACACTGAATACATTGACCATTAGTTATATAATACCTATTAAGAATTATGGTGTATGTGATAATATTTTATTTTAAGAGATGGCATCAGTCATTCTGTAATACTAATCACTATTTAGTGGCCTGCATTGAAAAATGTATAGGTTTATCTAGACAAAGCCATATATCTATTTAAGTTATGATTTCTGATCATTGTAAAATACTGCACCCTTCAAAAATTATACATAGCACATTTTATGAAAGATTTATCTTATACATAGGAAATCAGTGTACAGAGACAAAGCTGTATTTTTATTTGTAAAAACTTTGAGTTAATAAAGCTTTATGAATAAACCAAAAAAAAAAGGCTGAGTGACATGAAAAGGCCATCAATGGTTAATAATGGGTTGTTGTATTTATTGTTGTTACTATTATTGATGCACTGTGTAAAGACAAATAGAGTTTGTAAATAATGAGATCTGGTAAACCCTAACATGAGTGAGGAGAATGGGGATTCATACTGATGTTGTGCCCTCATTTCTTGAAAATTCACAAGTAAGCGACAAAAATGTATCTTGTCTATGCTAAGCACTCTTGGGATTTTAACACATTTAATGAAATAATACATTCCATTTACAGCACCTGTGACAGGACACAGGTCCAGTGTCATTAAACTTCAATAGCTGGGTTCCTTAAAAGAGAACTATAGTGTAAGTGTTTTTCCCCATAGTTCTCTTTAGGGTCACGGGAGGAAATATACTAACCTCCTCCCGTGACCCAAAGCTCAGTATATTGCAATATACTAAGAGCACCGTAGCTGGGATGGATCCCAACAATACTGTCGAGATCCACCCAGCTGCGTGAGTGACAGCGGGCTCTGACAATCTAGAGGCAGAGCCAGCTGTACCCGCCCCGTCCCCGTTCGTTCCCCCACTCAGCGCTGGAGGATCGGGGAT